AGCTAGTAGTGGTTAAAAGTTGAAAAATAATGGATCAAATATTCAGCAAAGCCCCAGGTTCTAGACAGATTTATAGCGAAACAAAACATCTACCAGTATCTGTATATACATGTACATGTATGTCTTCATACACATACCTCTGCCCAGATGTCTGCAGATGAGTGCTTGAGCTAACATCATCTGACCACATCGCAACATACAACCCCAGCCCTGATCAGTGGTCGGTCCTGTTCCACCTTTGTTGTGGGGAAAAAAGAGATAAAAAGCTGCAGGTTAGTGTACATGTATGTTTTAAAACTGAACACAATGCTTTCCACATTCTTTGCATGTAAGTTAAAATTTTGGCTTCCCTGTTTATCAGCAACTTTAAACAAAGCATGCTGCTCTTGTACACATATGTGTGCAAAGCTGTTTCTACGGAAAAGTGTTACATGAACATACAAGTGTATCTTTAGGAAATGACATAATTTTTGTGTGATTCAATACACATTTCTCTATCTTACTCTCCAATACAATTATTAATTTCCAACCATTTTTAACTAAATAAACACACGGTGAAAATAATTTTGTATATACGTGTACATGTACGGTACAGCATTACCAATTTAGTTTTTTAACCACTTCATATAAATTTCTGGCTAACTTTGAACACAGGAGTGGCTGGAAACCTCAAGCCCATTTCCATTCTACTCAGACTGGTATCCATACTTACCAGTTGAAGCATTTTTTCACAAATGTACATACACATGTAGGCCCTGAACAACCTCAAAGGATCCCTCAATTTAATGTAAACCTACTGGATTATGTTAGTGAAGATGTTCTTAATTCCTAACGGCAGTAACAACAGATGAACTTTAAAACACGGTTTGTGCCCTTATGTGCAAAACTCAATTGTGAGAGGTCATGACAAGGTCATCAGGTAGTGCAGGATTTTATACATAGAGGTTGGCTAGCTGCCAGGGCTTTTGTCAAATAAAACAATATGAATGAAAATTACTTTATGTCAGGATTGATGACAAAGCGAGAGCGGACTGTGTAATATTCCAGCAGTACTGGGATCACGCACAAATTGTGTGGTTAATAGGCCTCTTTTTATAACCAAAGCCCTAAATATGCTCTACAAACCCAAAGAGTAATACCAAGAAATATGCTGTTTCAAAATTATCTTCAAATTAAAGCTACATGAATTTCCTCAGTGATTCAGCCGAACTGTGGATGAGGAATTGAACAAAAAAGCAGGAAGGATGTTTCTGTACGTACAGAAGCATTTCAAATCTAAGTGTTTTTTCATTTGAAAAAAAGGGAAATGTTGATAGGTGCAAGTCATAATGTCACTTGTTGAAGTACTTATACGTTGAAATCTCGACAATAATGAATTTGAACCTCAGGAGAATGGAGCTATCCTGAAAATTATTTATTAAACTAAACCATTTCATCATGGTACCTTCGTGTGGCAAAACTTTCGTATCGCTTAGTCATTTAACAAGGTGAAGCGCTGCTATTTTTTCAATTCGGCTTTTCTATGTGTGGTCACATGGCCTTTCCTTTTGCGGTCACATGGCCGCTGCAGTGTCAGCGATTGGGCTGCCTGAAAGGGACTACAATTGGGCCCGCGTTGCAATCAGGTTAGTTTCAGTGTCCCAAAAGCCAGGATTACAGTTGCAGCTATGCTGATTTATGAAACGTGCATACAACTGGTCCTCTTGAGAAAAGAAATGCACTTGCGATGGCTCCTAACTCTATATAGACTTCCGATAATTTCATCGCCGTGTGAAGTATTTTGGTGGCGGTTTTTTGAATCAGAAACTTCAAAATAAGTGGATATAATGGTGTGGGCATTGTTCGTGTTACGGCGGTATTTCTGTACTTTAAGCCTTTTAACTCGTGACGTACATAGCACTGATCTGTTCCGCATGTGACTCGACCGGCGCTCACCATGTGTGCACACCACGTGCGTACCGCATGTACGTGGTCATGCAGCATCCTGGACATTTAGATCAATGTGCTACGCACTTTCTACGTACCAAAAATAACCGTGTTTTGGGCATATGGTCACGGGGTCGCGCGGAATGCCATTTGTTATCAAGTGATCTCTTTTCCGGGTACCCAGGTAACCGATGTTACCAAAAAAGGGGTACCCGGGTACTGTAAAAATACTCAGAAATGCACACCCCTACTGGCAACACTCACCTCCATAAGATGCAAACAGGATCTTTCGGTCGAAAAAGTTCCAATAATAGTCCTTTCCCCATTCTTCAAGGAGGAATTTTGCAAGCTCATTTTTGAAGAGCCCATTACTCAGCATCCTCTATCCACTTTGTCGTAGGATTTGTTCTGGACCTGTTACGTTGTAAACAGTGTCTTGTGCCCCTCTCAGTTTCCTTTCACCGTCTTTAATGGAATTGGTAACATATTTGTCAAAACAAACATGTACCTCTGTCGCCTGTCCGATGCAAGTAGTTGAGAGCAGAGACCGTGATATTGATGCCAGTGATGCGCCCATGTTTGTTTCAGCCAATGTAGTATGGAGAAGGAGGCTCCCATTGTATATCTGGACGTAACTTCAGGGCAGATTGTCATCTGTGATCCGTCTGCAATGTGTCCAGCTTACGTAGCAATGCTGATTTATCTGTTTTCACAATTGAACCATCGCTGTGTGCAAGTGATAACGGGCATTCTGTGATGGGGTGGGCGAGAACGTTGCAAAGGTCAAGATTTCCATTTTTGGCCATCACCACATGCGGAGGAAGACATCCTGCAGGCTTTCAGCCCTGTTCTTGGCAGCAGGTGGCACCTTGGCCTTTTTCTGCACATTTTCTGATGCGAAGTTTTTTACTTTCACTCTCTTCAAAAATCGATTGCTGCCACTTGCCCACTCAGACTGAAACTGTGACCTTAATTCCTTGCCTCGGTGCAGTGTATTTAGCAAGTAGGTCTCAGTAGTCTTGGATGCAGCTCGACTGGTTGTGATGTTCACAAGCGAGTCACAAGAAGTGTCTTCTGAAAACGGATGACAAAATTTGTCATCTTGTCGTTCAGTGCCACCATCTGCTAGTTGTCCTGCCTTATTCAAGATGGTCAACTTTGAGCCGCTGCAGTTTCTCCAACCTCAAAACCAGCATAAGCTCTCAGCTCTATCACTGCCATTGCTCTCTGTGAGGGACCTCTGTAAGGGACCATTTGTGCATGGCATTTTCTGAGTTCCGACAGGCGATTCCCCTCATCTCTGAAGCTGCATCCAGGTTCATCGACTGCTCTAAGGACAGGTCCACTGCTGACCAACTATAATCCTTTGCCGTGCGTCTAATAGAAAATGCCCCTTTCTCTAGGATCTCAGGATCTTTTCTGATGGAAGAGCATGCCCCATTTTGCATAGTTGGGCTGGTTTAGAGTGAAGAATATGTCCCTACACGGCTGGGAAAACATCAATGAAGGCACAGACATCATTTGTCTTCACACTTCACTGGAATTCTCTGAGGAGTCGGTTAATGAGGAAGACACAAATACCCCAGTGAGCTGTGGGCTGCAAACTTCCTCTGGGGACATCTTGAAAGAACTGCTCATATTTTTTTATATGTTGTGTAATGACTGGATCCATGAGATGAAACTCAACCTGGCCAGGGTTAGATGGAATGGTGTTCCACACCACTTTAAGACACTCAAGTTCCTCCTCTGATAGGGTGTTGAGGAATCGTTGGTACATCTTGCGTTCCATTACATTGGCAATTAACTCATGAATTCTTGTGCAGCGGTTGTAAAATTTGCCTTTAGTAAAGCGTATGACGGACCCTTCGGCTAGCATGTCTGCCTCAATAAGGATATATTCAATCCCACTGACGCTTATCATGGTACCAACTGCTCCGTAAAAAGGAAGTTCAATGTGGAAACAGCCAAGCATGATCAGAAGCTTGCCAAATAGGGGTCTTTGCATCGAATAGCCCTCCAGAGCAACTGCCAGGTCGTACGTCACAACTCCATACCTTTGGCCAGTTTCGTGCACAACATTCACGCTTTGAACCATCGTTTTTCGTACAACATCATTATTCGTCGGAGATCTGGATATTGGATCCATGTATGACATTTGCTGGACTGGCAGAACATCCTTAATAAATCTGCTGATGAATCCACGGTACAGAGGAGTCTTCCCATTGTCCAGCCTCCGCATCCAATACAGGTCCAGGGCTTGAAGTTTCAGGTTTCCCATGGCTGTGAGAGACACTGCATTACTGAAGACAAAAGATGCTTTCCTTAGGGCCTTTCTAAATGGTGGAATCTCCCGTCCCTGTTCCTGGAATGATTGCCGATTTCTTTCTTCTCGAAACTCCGTGGACTGTGAGCGGATTGGTTGATTACAAGTCTCTAACATATTCTGGTACATGTGTCCAACTGTTGCATTGAGGGTATCTTTACCGTCAAGAGTTTCAACGGTTGCGTCGCTGTTATCCTATACAGTTGCATTGTTGCAAATCTGGATTTAAGTGGATACCATCAGGAGTATCACGTAGGTAGGACTCGAATGTGTATGCCAAATTCTGTTTCCAGTCCTTTAACCTCACTGTAATTGATACAGTGCCCTGTCCTGTTCAGGATCATCAAAGCGAGTTTCGATCCGGTCAGTGATGAAAGGCCGAGGCCCATCATGTTACGCTTCCACGGTCTAACTGGTCCATGTGTGACACTGTAAGTGGCATCAGATGCCATAGCAGTCACCTTCCTCTCAATTGCTTCCTGAGCATCACTGCCAGATGGAGTCACCAAGCCACTCAGTGGACGTCTATAAAACAAGGCCAATTGAGGTGGTACTTCTGGGGTAGACTCCTTCAGGTTTTGAACCCGTAGCTGGACTTAGTGTCTGTGTCGTTGCCAGTTTCATTATCTGTGCACGGAGGTGAAGTGCAGCCCATCTGAGTTTGTCATCTTCTTCATGCTGTTCAGAGTCATCAGAGATGTTAGCCCTTGCATCTTCGTCAGTCATGGCTTAATTGCAGATGAAATTTCCCTGTCTCTGACAACCCTTTAAACAGAAAACAGTATTTGGTAGCCAATGGCTCCTAAGGGGGAAAAATCTAGGCACCAGCACTTTTATGAAAATTCAGTAATCACGTTTGCTGAATATTCATGAACGTACGTACACACATGTAGTATAAATACCCTGAGTTTACATCGTCCATCCATGCTGAAGAATCATGAGCTGGCGCGGCACACGTCCACCACACAACTTGCATACAAGCGCTAA